CCAATTACCGTAACATCTAATAAGTCAGGCTTGCTGCATTTGTGGGCCATTCTGCTCATTTTGCTGAAAGGATTATGGACTTCTGTCCCAAAGCTTTTCCAAGACAGCCAGACTTCACCTCTCGCTTGCCTCTTTTTTCCTTCTTTGAGTACCATTTTCATAAAGACTTTGCATGACTCTTCACATGATTAAGGTAAAGGTTTCCCTTTGATATTAAGTCGAGTCGAGTCCGACTCTGGGGGTGATGCTCATCTCCATTTCTAAGCCAAAGAGCCGGCATTGTCCATAGACACCTCCAAGGTCATATGGCCAGCATGACTGCATGGAGTCCCATTACCTTCCTGCTGAAGCAGATCTACTCCACATGAATATATAGGAATTAAATGGAACATCCAAAATGTCCAAGTCATTCATATCCATTTTTCCTATTCTTGCCTTATTCTACTCTGCTGCCACCGCAGTCGAATAATTTTGAAAACTTTATGCAGCTGAGTCTAGGATGCTCTGGATATTCATAGCTCAGTGGTACGAGTTTTAAATATATATTTAAAACAAAATAAAAGTATACATATTAGAAACTCTTCTCCGAGTTCCTAGTATGGCTTGCTTGTGTTTATGAGGTATGTAAAATTTTGCACACATTCTCTTCACATGCTCACAAACATTCTCAGCTTGTGAGCATGTGAAGACTATTTAATTCACCTCAGAATGCACCCTTAAAATGGATACCAGAACTGAATCACAGCTTGGAAATGTTACTTTGTGAATTACAGTTTCCAGATTCCCCTATCATCATAGCCATGAACTTGAGGCTATAACCCACAGATTCTTCCACCCAGTGACTTTCTGGATTGGGAGATTCTGGGAGCTGTAATCCAAGAATGATGTTTTCCAATTCTTTGCTTATTTTCTACCGAAAAAAGATGCCTGGTTATAGAAACTAAGACTTCCCTCTCAAATACCTGTCATAATGCCAGATCTTGTGGTCAAGTCCTGACATCTGCTTCTTGCATTCAACTATTCAAACCCAAATGTCTATCATTCCCATAACCCATGGCCCATCTCTTACTGTGACATCCCTCTACCATTTCCTTCAAACAATGTTAGTTTAAGCAAAGCCTTAACCTTAGACATTTGTTTTTCATATTAACTATCTAGAAAAGGGAAGGTGATAGGAACAAAGGGAAGGCAGCCTCTGATCATATATAGATTTTCGTTACTGCCAAACTGCCCTAGGGTCTGCCTAGAGTTATGGGCACAAATTCAAGGTCCTCTGTTTAGCCTCACTTGCAAATTAATCACGTTAAACCTATCAAAAACTAGTGTGGTTGACTGGCTATTATTATGTATACCCTTTGTCTATCGGAAAGGAAAGGAAATATGGGTAAGAATTTGGTCTCCACTTGCATTATAGATAATGAATACCTTTATACTTCCTCTAATAGGGTAACCATCCTGTTCTCCCTTGCATCCCACAATGATACTGACACAATAGCAATTTTTCAGGAGCGACTTGAGAAATTGCAAGTTGCTTCAGGTGTGAGAGAATTGACCATCTGCAAGGACGTTGCCCAGGGGACGCCTGGATGTGTTACCAACCTATGGGTGGCTTCTCTCATGTTCTGCATGAGAAGCAAGAGCTGACAGGTGGGAGCTCACCCCACTCCTTGGATTTGAATGGCTGACCTGCCAGCACAAGGGGGCTCCACAATAGCAATGATGAAGATGCTGATACCTTTTAATCACAATTAAGGGTTGAAGTAACGCCTCTGCATTAAAAAAACCCTACTTCTTCACACTAGAGGATGAATCCACTTTAAATGCAGTTGCTGCCTCCTGCTGAATTGTGGGGTTTGTAGTTTAGGGAGGAGCCTTTAACACCTCACTAAACTACAAAGCTCAGAATTCTGTAGGAGGCAGAAACCAGATTTAAAGTGGGTTCATTCTCTAGTGTGATACTGTCTACAGTATATTCTTCTCCTTCTTGTGTGTCTTTGAGTCATTTCCAATTTATGGCAATTCTAAAACAGACTTATCCCAGGCATTTCTTGGCATGATTTGTCTGGGGCTGGATAACATTTCCTTCCTCTGACACTGAGAGGGTGTGACTGCTGTAAGGTCACCCAATGAGTTTCCATGGCCGAGCAGGATTCGAACCCTGATTCCCAGGGTCCAAAGTCCAGCATCACACTGTATTTATAATATCAATAGATATCAAACATGAGCATTAAAAACTCTTTCCCTCGATACATTTTTGGATCCATTCCTCAGCCCCTAGAGCACCTTTCCCAGTTCTGAACATGAGGAAGAACTTTCTGACTGTGAGAGCCGTTCAGCAGTGGAACTCTCTGCCCCGGAGTGTGGTGGAGGCTCCTTCTTTGGAAGCTTTTTAATAGAGGCTGGATGGCCATCTGTCAGGGGTGATTTGAATGCAATATTCCTGCTTCTTGGCAGGGGGTTGGACTGGATGGCCCATGAGGTCTCTTCCAACTCTTTGATTCTATGATTCTATATGTGAGATTTTCATAATATTGTAGAGTAATCTGTTAACACATCTACTCCAAAGTAAAATCCTTTGAATACAATGGGACCAAAGTAAGTGTAAGGACTGTAGTCATAAATACATCCCTCCCACAAGCCCTGGCACACTTTGACTTTTTCAAATAGAAGCTATTTTTTAAAAAAAAGATCTCCATTCGCTTTTTTGCTCCAGATTGGAACTCCAGATCACAACATTTCCCTGCCTTTAAAGGGAAGCACAATAATTGCTGCAAGAAGAGCCCCATTAAAGCAATTAGATTTGCTTCAGTGCTCTCTGGTCAATCAACAGCTTGGTCAACTGCTTAGTAGGGATAACCAATATGACAGAGGCAGACTATAATATTACAAATATCATTGTATTACAATGTATTCAAAAATCTGCCTGGTATTGCTGCTAAAAGTGTGGTGTCCTGGCTTGAAGGGTGACTCCGGAGACCAGATTTGAAATCCCTACTCAGTCTTAGAAACCCACTGGATGACCTTGGATAAGGCACACTCTCTCAGCCTCAGAGGAAGCCTCTGAAGAAACCTTGCCAAGAAAACCCTGTTAGAGATTCACTTTGGTGCCAGCATTGATAGGAAACAGCAGCATCCAAGTATTGCTAAGGAAGTGGGAGCCTCAAAGGCTACTTTCCCCAGCCCTTCCCTCCGGTCTCTCAAGCCTTATAGTGTATCTGAGGAAGGATGCCATTATATAGAAGTGGGAGGCGTGGTGATGCCCTCTTCTTCATGTTGTTGTTCTCGGGAAGACCCACCCATCCACCCTTCGCCCCTCCTGGACCATCCGCACTGGTTTGGAAGGAATAGACAGTCTTGGGGCGCATCAAAATCCCCTCTCCTCTCAGCCCTCCCCGCTTCCTCTCACTCTTTCTCACGGAGAACCTGAGAAGCGGAGAAGGAGTCGTCAGTCCCCTCAACCTCACTTCCCACAAAAAAGTTCACCCATGATATTCACACACACCCCAAAACGGACTCATGACCCAGGAGCCAACCACGTCCTGGAGCGCTCTGACATCCCAGAAGGGGGAGAAAGAAGGGCAGAGGAGGGAGAAGAAGGAGGGGATAGAAGAAGAAATGGATGAGGAGGAGGCAGAAGAGAAGGAGGAGGAGGAGGAAGAAGAAACGGGTGACGGAGGAGGAGGAGAGGAGGAAGAAGAAGAGGAGGGGGAGGAGAAGAAGAGGCAGAGTGAGGAGGAGGAGAAAAGGAGGAAGCAGAGACAGAAGAAACTGGTGGTAGACTTAGAAGGAGAGGAGGAGGAAGAGATGCAAAAAAACTGGTGGTAGAATGAGACAGAGGAGAAGGGGAGGAGGAGGAAGAAGCGGAAGAATGAGGGTGGTAGAGTTAGGAGGAGGAGAGGAAAAAGGGGAGGGGATAAGAAGAAGAGGTAGAGTGAGGAGGAGGAAGAAGCAGCAGAAGAAACGGTTGGTAGAATGAGGAGGAAGAGGGGGTAAGAAGAGGTAGAGTGAGGAGGAAGAAGAGAGCAGAAGAAACGGGTGGTAGAGTTAGGAGGAGAGGAAGAGGAGTAAAAGGAAGAGGAAGGGATAAGAAGAAGAGGTAGAGTGAGGAGGAGGAAGAAGAGAGGGCAGAAGAAACGGGTGGTAGAGTTAGGAGGAGAGGAGGAGGAGAGAAAGAGGGAGGGGATGAAAGAGGTAGAGTGAGGAGAAGGAAGAAGAAGCAGAAGAAACGGGTGGTAGAGTTAGGAGGAGAGGGAGGAAGAAGAGGTAGAGTGAGGAGAAGGAGGAAGATGAAGAAGGAGCAGAAGAAACGGTGGTAGAGTTAGGAGGAGGAGAGGAAGAGGAGGAAGAGGGATAAGAAGAAGAGGTAGAGTGTGGAGGAGGAGGAAGAAGAGCAGCAGAAGAAACGGGTGGTAGAGTTAGGAGGGGAGGAGGAGGAAGAGGAGAGGGATAAGAAGAAGAGGTAAAGTGAGGAGGAGGAAGAAGAGCAGCAGAAGAAACGGGTGGTAGAGTTAGGAGGAGAGGAGGAGAAGGGAAGAGGTAGAATGAGGAAGAGGAGGAGGGGAGGAGGAAGAAGCAGAAGAGAAGAAATAGGGTTAGTAGAGTTAGGAGGAGGAGGAGGAGGAGGAGGAGGAGGAGGAGAAAACGGATGGTGGAGGAGAAGTAGCATCAACTGTGGTGGTGGTGGTGGAAGGAGGAGGAGGAAGGAGGGAGGGGAGGGAAGAGAAGAAGCAGTAATAGTACTAATAGTAGTGGTAGAGGGAGGAAGAAGAGGGAGGAGAAGAAGAAGTAGTGGTGTTAGAGAGAGAAGGAAGAGGAGAAGTAGAAAAAGGAGAGAAGGAGAAACAACAACAAACCCCCTAAAAAAACATTCCCCCGCATGGCTTTCCAAAGCAATAGCGCAAGCCTCCCGCAACAAACCACTCAGAAATGGGGATTTGCGCCCCTTTAAGACTCCTTCAGGAGGGAGAAAAGGGGTGACCGTGGGTTCCGTTTCCACTCACCGCGGCCAGCAGCAAGAAGCCCAGGAGGAGCGCGAGCCGGTGCGGGTGCTGCTGGTGCAGCTTCTTTTCCTGCTCCATGGCCGTGGTTCCTCGAGGGAAGCCGAGGGGAGGAAGCAGAAGAGGAGGATGAAGGCTAGAGGAGAAGCCGAGGCGGGACTCTTCCTCTACATGCCCCGCTGGAGCGCTTTGGGGGCGCCTCGGAGCCCGGAGCCCGCCGCCGCCGCCTTTCCAGCAGTTGCTGAAACTGAGAGGCAGCCCGGACAGCACCTGCTTTGCTTTCTGTAACTGGGAAGCTCAGCCCCCTTTTTTTGTATTATTCCGATTACTGTTATGATGATTATTAAAGCGATCAATGCTCTCCTCCCACTGGCTGGGTGGCTTCAAATCCACGCCACGGAGAGCGGGGAGCGCCTCCCCTTTTCTCCTCGTCAGAGAATGCTTCCCCAAGGCGAGCACGCCGCGGAAAAAGGCACCCGCCTTGCCTTGCATTTTCAACGGACTCCCATATTATAGATCTTCTAAAATTCTCCCAAAGCTTCATTCTCAAAGGTGGGGAATTCTATCAAGGTGTGGAAGTCGCTTCAAATGCACTCTCCCAGAGCTGAAATGCTACAGCATGGTTGGCTGAAAGAGTGATGCCTTTGCTTATGGATGATCCAAGGGACATACTTTGTTTAATGTGCAAAATGATTAAAATACCGTAAATATTTGCCTGTATATAAGGAGAATGAATTTCCTGTGGAGATTTGAGTCCCCTCTTCAAGATCCTGCATTATGGAGATGCTACTTTTCCTTACTTTTCTTAGGCGATCCCACATTGTCCAAGTAGGATAGTCTTCCAAGATTGGTGTACTGGCAGTAGATCCGTAGGTGACTGTGGAGCTCTCTTCTTGATCTGCATCTTGTCCTGCAGTGAGGGCATTGGTTTCCAGGAAGGTGGTTCCTGTCGGGGTTGGCTTGATGCACCTTCCTCTTGGCATGCTTCTCTCTTTCGCCCTTCATTCGTGCCTCTTCAAATTCTGCAGCACTGCTGGTCACAGCTGACCTCCAGCTGGAGCGCTCAAGGGCCAGGGCTTCCCAGTTGTCAGTGTCTATGCCGGAGTTTTTAAGGTTGGCTTTGAGCCCATCTTTAAATCTCTTTTCCTGCCCACCAACATTCCGTTCTCCGTTCTTGAGTTCGGAGTAGACTATGGATCTGAAGACTAGGGTTCGAATCACCATTCAGCCACAGAGACCCACTGGATGATCTTAAGGAAGTCATACTCTCTCAGCTTCAGCAGAGGCAAAAGCAACCTTCCTGTGAATAAATCTTGCCAAGAAAATTCTATGATAGAGTCGACATAAGTTGGAAAAAAACTCAAAGCACACAACAATAATGGGTTATCTAGTCCAATAATCTGCTCTCACAGGATCCCTTCATTGCCCCTGCCTTTCTGCCTTCCATATGCACAAACTAAAGTTTTCTAGCCAAAAATAGAGAATTTTGTCTTCAGGGATCTCCAGAAGGCACAATTTGTGATCATCTCCCCCATTCCACACATTTAGGTCTTGGAAAGCTGGAAGACGTCTGGATCATAGGTGCTAAATCTATTTTGGTGACTCCAAATAGGTTTAGCACCTTGGATAATTCCTTTAACAAAACTAACTGAAACAAACATTGTCTTGTTCTCTGGTCCTGCCTCTTGACTTTCCCCTGATCCTTGTTGCTCTTTAGCTCTCACTCCTGACTTTGTCCAGACTCCTGCACTATTTGGAATAATAGGGGTTTTTTTTCCTCACTGCATCTCAGTTCTGGCTGATGAATTCCATTTCAGTATGGTAGTGATTCAATCAGGATTTTAGTCTAACATTTAAAGACATTTTCAAAAGGGATTGAACCTTATTCACCCAGCAAACTTAGGTAGCTTCTTTGAGTTTGTTGTTGTTCATTCAATCAATAGCTTTCAACTATTTGTGACCTCATGGACCAGCCCATGCCAGAGTGCCTTGTCGGCCGCTAACCCTAACCCTAACCCTAAACAAGAACCTTGGTATCCCTACAAATGTCCTGGTCCTCAAACACTCTCTGCTTCATTCAGAAAAAGCTGCATTCACAGAGTTCAGGCGGTGTCGTATTTCGGTGTCAATGTTGACTTTTGTGGAGAGGTGGCTGCCAAGGGAGAGGAAATTGTCAATGTTTTCTAATGTCACACCATTAAGCTGTATTTCTGGCACTGGAGAGGGATTGGCTGGTGACTGCTGGAAGAGCACTTTGGTTTTCTCGATGTTCAATGACAGGCCAAGTTTCTCGTATGTTTCTGTGAAGGTGTATAGAGTGGCTTGTAGGTCTTCTTTTGATTGCGCACAGATGATGTTGTCATCAGCATACTGGAATTCTATAACAGATGGTGTTGTGACCTTAGTTTTGGCTTTCTGGCTACTGAGGTTAAATAGCTTGCCATCTCTCCTATAGATGATTTCCACTCTGGTGGGAAGCTCCCAGTCAACAAGGTGAAGTATCATAGCAATGAAGATGGAGAATAAAGTTGGGGCAATAATACATCCCTGTTGGACACCTGATTCCACCTTAAATGGGTCACTTTGGGAACCATTGCTGTCCAAGACTGTTGCCATCATGTCATCATGGAGGAGCCACAGGATGTTCACAAATTTGTTAGGACACCCGATTTTTGAAGGATATGCAAAATAGAAGCCAACTAAGCTCCTTCTACCTGCCATATAAGATCCAGATTATCTGCTTTGAACTGAGTTATATGGCAGTGTAGACTCATATAATCCAGTTCAAAGCAGATCATGTGGATTATATAGCAGTGTAAAGGGAGCCTGAGTGTTTGGACAATGAATATGGAGACCAGCGTTTGAATCTAAACTCAATCATAGCAACTTACAGGTGGCCTTAGGTGGCTTGGTAATTCCTCGAGATAGTAGTTTGCATGTGGGACTCCCAAATCTGGCGATCTGAAGTCGCCCATAAAAATTCATGGGGTGACCATGGACAAGTCATATTCTCTTAGCATTAAACAGGCATGGGTAAAGAAAATACTGAGATAAATGTTTTGAATGTTTATGAGATAAACATTCAAAACATTTATACTGAGATAAATGTTTTGAATGGCTATGATTCTATGTTGTGACGGTGCGGATTAGTTAGTGTAATTTAGATTAGTGTGTATTATTGATATGTTGATTTCTTGTTGTGCTTTATTGTAAACTGTTTTTATATGTTGTACACCGCCGCGAGTCGCCCTAGGGCTGAGAGCGGCGGTCAACAAATGCAGCAAATAAATAAATAAATAAATAAATGTATGCATACAATTAATTATTGTTCCGGCATTGAATGTTTTCCATATATATGCTCTGCCCTGAGTCCCCTTTGGGGTGAGAAGGGCGGAATATAAATGTTTTAAATACTTGATCAGAAACCACTTGACCAGGGACCATTTGACCAGGGACCACTTGAACAAGGACCACTTTGGCCATGGACCACTTGAACAGGGACTACTTGACCAGGAATCACTTTGACCTGGGACCACTTTGATCAGGAATCACTTTGATCAGGGACCACTTGACCAGGGACCACTTTGACCAGGGAAAACTTGAACCAGGGACACTTTAACGAGGGACCATTTGACCAGGGACCACCGAAACAGGCACCACTTGACAAGGGACCACTTGAACAGGAACCACTTTGACCAGGGACCACTCTCCAACATTACTACCAAAAGGGTTACAAATCAGTTTTTGGTCAACTTAGATTCGGTTTGGTTATTTGGGGTGCTGATTCAAAAAGCTGCATTGGATAGACCATATCAGCTCTAGTTTCTGATACAGAACATATGCCATCCAGTAGTCACCATCTGCTCACCCACAGAAAACCATATTTAATAAGCCTCAGTACTATAAGAGGTTTTCGCGAGGCCAGTTGCTCTCGTTGCAATGGTGTAGTAATGGTGAGGCTGTGGACCATATTTTTGTTCTTGAGGACCACTAGTGGTGCAAGGACCACAAGTTGGGAACCACTAGCTAGTGGATTCCTTGTTGGAGCTTGTGCATATGTAAATCTGCTCTGGCTTTTAGTTTGAAATTTGCATGAGCTAACCAAGATACAACACCCTGTTCCAAAATAGATATATAGACAAAATTCCAGAGCGGATTCACTTGTCCATAAACAGCATCAATTGCCACTGTCTTCATCATTGGCTCTCTTCTAGCTGAGGGAAAAATGAAAACCAAAATAGGGAATGCTTGAAAAGGAAGGAAAATTGACCAGAGAGATGACCATAGAATTAGCCAAAGTTCAATCTTCCATTGTTTTATACACCCTGCCCTGCATCCCAGATTATTTCATAAGAGAGCCCATTCTACCAGGAGATAAGACAACATCTCCTTCATGGGTGGTATTGTGAAGGCAGATGGTGTGGAAAGCAGACAAATTTGACCTGTGAGGCTCAAGTTGCTGGGATGTTCTTTTGAACAAACTTCATACAGCTCCCCTGCACTGCATTTGCCCTCTCTATTCATGGGCTGGACCAGTTGCTGGAATGTCAGTAAAAGGTCAGCAGTGGGAGGGAACATCCATTGGGATTTTCCACCCTCAAGCACCACCTTCCTTGCCCTGCATAATATAACATGTCAGAACAATACTGTAAATTAACAGAGGCATAATATGGTCAAGATAGATGCCAAAAGGGGTGGCCTAAATGCTCTAAATGTGCTCATCTGATCTTGGAAGAGAATCAGATTCAACCCTGGTGACAGGAGAGTGGCAACAAATGCCAGTAGACAATATTTCAGCCTATGAAAACCCTAGGCAATTCTTGGGTCACCACCAAGTCAGCAGGCAACTTGAAATGACACGTATATGTTGAAAATGTTTTTGAACTTGAATTTTCAAAAGTTGAAATGCTCTGAAGTATGCACAATTGCACACTGATGGAGAAAACTCGGGAAAAGGAGTCTCCTTTTAAAAACTGTTGCCTGAAGCAGTTGGTTCATGCTGCTTAATGGCTAGTCCAGCCCTATTTTTAAACCACTTTGTTTTAGTCTGAGCATTTTCAAGATGTTTTTCTCTTGCCTGATCTCAGACAACTCCTTTCTGCGTCCTCTATAAGATCAATAATAACAGAAACAAAGATCTTATTGTCTTACTCAACAAAATTATCCTTCTTTTATGCGCAAGCTCAGAGCTAACTGGATTTGGCCTGGCCTGCCTTGCCTCTTTCGTTCATGAAAGCATCTGCCATCTCAGTTCCAGTCCTGTGGCCATGAAAGACTACATTGCCTACTTGTTTAAAGAAAGACATTTTCAAACACCATAACTTCTGTATTTTACCCAAAGCAATTCTGGAGAGACAGGAGATGCTGGCTGTAGCACTTCAGCAGCACGCTGGAGTTTGAT